TTTTCTGGGTATTGATTCTATATCCAAATGATAAGACTATCTTATCATTGGTTGGTTGACTCAGCTCAGGGTTGTGGTCATCATTCCACTGTTGTGTATAGCTCAGCATGATTTGTGATTGGGGCTTGAGCTTGATTTTGTGGCCTGCCTGAACTAAATCTGTGCTCAATTTCAGTAAAGACCACTTCGTAAAAGAAAATACTTTGTTTCTATTTGCAGTATGGCTCAGTTTTGGTATTTCTCTGCTCTTCCATTTACATACATGGAAAGCCTAAAGCAGGGTGAACAGCAGCAAGACCCAAACAACAACCATACCAGGCAACTTCAAGCCAGCAGGACGTTGCATAGAGGATTACAGAGAAAGCAGCAAGCACAGGCAGGCCAATGCATGTGTACAGGTTTAGACAGTGAAACACAGGTTTCCCCTGAGAGGCATAAAGAGCTACTCTGTGAATTGGAATAGCTTTTAATTATTGAACCTCAAATTTAAGCTTACAGCATCACAGAACCGATATGAACCACTCTATCAACAACTTTCACTTCAGTTTTAAGAATTCATCGGAGCAGTAAAACAGTGACATACGCTCGTTCCCCCATGTCACTGGATGCCAAACATGCAACACTCCAATTGGATGAATTCACCACCAGCCAGATGCTATCATGGCTCCCCTCTGTATAGCACTACCAAACCACAGACATATTCTCTGTTTAAAACTCACTCAGGCAGCCAACTTGACTTTACATGTTTCTAGAGATGCAAACAAATTAAAAAGGACACCAATTTTACACTCAAATGAAATAAAACCCTTAATTACTTTCTTTTGCATCATGAAGGCATAGTTATCCTGCTGAGCCAGCTGCACAAGCTTTGCTAAACTCAAACTACTATGCGTAGCCATGTTACTACTACTCTCTGAGGCAGCAGGCTACTGTATATACTAAAGTAGTGTACTTACCCTGAATAATCTAGAAGCAGGACCTATTACTTATGTAATATTCATAGAAAGACCACCAAAATGACCATGCCAGGCAAACTACCGGACAGTAGCAGCTTAAATAAATGGCCTGAAAAATTTAGCCAATTGTTTGTCAAGCAGGCAATCATGTGATCTATCCCACACCTAACATTTAATTATACTTCATTTCCCACCTGTCATTCTGTAGAGGAAGTCATAAGTTGTTCCCCAGATCCAGCCCACAATCCTCTCTATGGATCTCACAATGGCAATCCAAATTTCTGACAAAATAAGATTAAAATAAAAAAATAGATTGACTCCAGATTTCTAATACAGTCTGTGATTAGACTACAATAACTGGTAAAGTCAATGAAAAGATTGTGAGATGTATAAATCTATTTCAGGAAAAGGCACACGCAGACGATTTAGTATTAATTACTAAATTAATACTGGTATTATAGTATTAATACTAATACTAAAATTAATTTCAGTATAATTAAATCAGCAGAAGAATCTGAGGTGCATTGTTTTAAAAATGCTTCAGTAGAATGGTTCTACTCACCATCCCAAAAATCCTGCACCGTGAACATGTCAGTAATGTAACTGCATACTTGCAGGGTGTATTCATTTAACTCTTCCTTGGAGATCGTCCTTTCTGAAATCACCTTCTCCAGATGAACAGTCATCCTTTCTATTTCATCATGCCTATCTAATGAAAGAGATTTTCTTCAGTATATATACACATACACACACATACAGAATTATTGGCACCCCTCAAGAAACCAGGCAAATACAATCATATAAAATAAACAAAACAGATAATGATTCAAAAGTTTCTCAAAGATGTTTGGAGAAATTCTGCACGATTTATGTAACAGAAATCTTTCCTACAAGAGTGTTGTTTAATTTTAGTGATGTTTATTCAAAACAACTTTTGGGGAAAAACATCTTTTTATTGCTTCTAGTTTCCAGGAACTGTTGTCTGTTACCATTTCCTGTTTCCCTGTGCTTTAAACATGAGGTAACCCCCTTTAAAATCTCTTGAACATCCATCAACACGGATAAAAACAAACAGCTGTCAACTCAAATGGGACAGAACATTGTAGATCTGCACACACACAAAAAAATTCTTAGGTCACATTTTGCACAAAAATTAAAAAAGTAATAATGGGTTGCCAATATTTTTCACATTTATTTTTTTGGAAAATAAATTAATATTAAAAAAAAAAAGTTACTCATTTGTTGAAGCCCGAAATATCAGTCATTGCATGTGTGGTTTATTTAATATATTCATTTTTATGAAAGGTGCCAAAAATTCTGGATTTGACTATATATGCATGTATTTACTGGCACAAACAAGTGATAAAAGTTAGTTAATACTAAAAAATATATTATTACAAAACAGTCTATTTAATGTTGGCGTAGTTGAACAGTCATGTGTTCTTTAGATTATGGGATATGTTAGTGAATACTACCTTTCAGTAGGTCCTTCATTGTTTGGAGGTATTCTGTAGGATCCTCCTTTCTTAACATGCAAAGGTTCAGTTCCACAAGTTGTAAGAGGACCTGGTAACTGCTGTGCACATCTGGTGATGTTTGACTTTCTTCTTTGCTTCCTATTTTGTCTGAAAAAATTATGAAAGAAGTATAGAGACATTAACTTTGCCCCTCTCTTGCCAGATCTGAACACAAGAAACTACGGTAACACTTTCTATGAATGTCATGTTTGTAAGCATCTATAAACACATTTATAACATGTTATAATGCCTTCATACGGCATTATAAACATGAATATAAACATTTATAAAAATGAATTACACTGGATTACATTTTATAGCCATGTTTATTATACATTATGAATTACATTTACATTTACATTTACATCATTTAGCAGACGCTCTTATCCAGAGCGACTTACAAAAAGTGCTTTGTCTATCCAGAGAAAGAATCTTCGCTAGCTACCGATAGGTTAGAGAGAAAGTCAGTCCTAAGCTCAGATACTGGTAGAATCAGAAGGTCATTGACACCTAGTGAAAAAGGGACAGAGTTAATATAATGCATTATAAGTAGTGTTGATAACATGTTATAATGTCAGTGCCAAAGAAGTCAGTCCCAGCTTGGAGAGCGTAAAGTAAAGACAAATACCAAGCTAATGGTGGTGTACATTGGCTTTCCCACATTGGGTAAAGCACTGATGGCAGCACTAGTTTAAACTCTGACATTTGAAGTCTGCAGGTGGAGCAGATGTTCAGTCTGTGTTTATTCTGTGTTTAGACTGACTTTTCGTCAGTTATTTTGTAAGACCCCCTCCCACACCACATCACTGCATCCCCATTTTTGTCTGCTCATCTTAGAAAATGTGGCAGAATCTGGTTAGTGACCTGTGCCACTAGGTTATCGTATTGTGGGGAAAAAAACATGCTGTGCTGCCATAAATCTTTACAAAACACATGCTACAACAAGAACCTACGAGTAATGGATGAGCCATCTTCTTAGAGATTTATGCAATACTAGTAAACTGCATTAAAACTCCCATGCAGGTTACAACTTCCATGCTTTTTCAAACTTTCCAGTCCACCTTAAATGATGCTTTAGAGGCAACATTTGCCTCTTTACAGCTTATAACAAAGAACAACAGGGCACTTGACTATTCTTAAGCAGCCAATCAGTATGAACCAAATGCCTGGACAAAAGAGACATGGGAGTTTGAGGCTCGCTCTCACATGCAAAGTATTTCGAGGGAAATCAGATCGCATGATTAGATGAAAAATGGTTTATGTGGTACTTTTAGTCTATTCTTTAAATATGGCAAGCACTAATTCTCATCATCACAGCTCTGGTTAGCTCTAGTATTAGTGTTAGCTCGTTAGCTCTTCTGAAGGAGCATGTTTTTAACAGACTTTACCATGCTTTTCTAGATACTTGAATATCAAAATTGTTCAGAATGTACATCCTGGGTTTGTACTTTCTAGCCTTTTTATTGTTATTACCTTCTATCATCCCTGCACCATAAAGCACGTATGCCACATCATAAAGCCTAGATATTTTGCTTATGAATATAAATGTGTTTAGTCTAAATGTCTGGACCTAAATAAGTACATTAAATATCTGATGTGCTCTAGATCAGTACCAGGTAGATCCTGAAACTCCACACAGGTACATGATGCAGTCCAGCAGTCCCTTTTCTTTCAGCTGACTCAGTGACCCCAGCAGTCCAACCATAGCTCTCAAACCTCCACCAGAGTCCAAAATGGCAATGTTGGGCATGTCATCCTGCCATCATTGAAACACAAATCATAAACACTTGAAAAAAAACAGTTGTATTTCTATTGCATCACTGAAACTTGACGTATGATTAAATGTGTTGTTAGATACAAACAATAATGCAGTTGTTCATAATACATCTGGTATTGTGTAATCTTAAATACTCAAATAAGAAATTATCTATGACAATAATGATAGCATTACACTAAAATACAGTTTATACTGCAGTACAGTTTATTGTAGTATAGTTTTCTAGGTAAAGCCCAGTTTTACTAAATGTTTGCGATGTCCCTAATGAATTTTGCACAGACAAAAGCACCAAAGCCTCATCTGCCAATGAGGTCGCCACTGAGCTGCAGGTTTTAGCACACCTGACTCAATGGATATACATTTTAAGGGAGAAGATTATGAAAATTAACATCTTCGAGCAATTTACTAATGTGAACTGCAGAGTGAAGGACACACAACTACTCTGAAAAGTGCTGCCACTCTAAAGTTGTAAGTGAGAATTATAGGAACTACAAATTTTAATGGAAGTGCTTATCTGTTAGCAGCCGGGATCTCCATCATCAAAATTTCCCCCTCTTTTAGAGAGAATTCCTTCTTTCTCTCTTTTCTTCTGTCAACATCCATTTGAATTGTGCTCTAAGTGCCTCTGTATATTAGCATCTCTCCATTTCACATTAGCCAATTTGAGGGTAAAATCTTTTAAATGGCAAGTTACACTAACTCAAACACAAACTAGAGCCAGCTGCACTCACTAAATTTTAGTACATGCTGTATGCCATGCTGCTTCAGGCACTGTAGAACAGTCTCTGTCCTTCTGGCCAAATGCTGCCTCTCCACTTCACTCAGAGAGTGACCAATTCTCACCTCGCAGCTACACACATTACACAGGAGTGGTTTTAGTACTAGAAGTGTGTTATAACAGTAATAAACAGGTAATACCTTTAATTAATTTAGAATACCTGCATGTAATGAGATTCAAGCCTTTCATTCTCAGTTTTCTACACCTGTAGAATAACTGACTATCTTGACTGAGAAGAAGTGAACTTCTTTTCTGAACTGAAAAGAGTTCGACCTAGTTATGGTCATTGTAAATGTCGTTGTATGCACAAATACATTTTAAATACTTCAGCACAATAAAAAGTGAAAAGAATTAAATGTTGTAGGAACCAGTTGCCAACCAGTAGGTGTCAGTACCACTGGAAATGCTCAAAGCAAGTTTCCCTCAAAGAAGGAAAGGGGGTGTGTCTAGTAGCAAACATACCCAGGTGTTGAAAGACCACTCCCAACACTTTTTATGAGGGAAAAGGTCGAAAGAAGGTTCCTACAACTTCTTTCTCTCTGACCTTTCCCTTATAAAAAGGGTTAGACTTCTAGCAGAGAACCCCTCCTCCATTTGGCCTTTTTGGATTTCCAGCACCACATGGACAGTGCAACAGAGAACAAAGAAACTACCAGTAGGTCAATCTTACTACTACAGTTACTAGTGACTGCATCCTGAGCAGCTGACCACCATCAAGCTTGTGAAAGGCAGTCAGCGGCCTTGTTATAGTGATCAAGTTCTTAATTTAACCTTTTCTTGGATCAACTTCCAGAGGATTAAACTTTGTAGCAAACACTGGCTGAAACGTTACTTCAAGTTGAGTGTTTACTTAAACTCATCAACAACCAAAAGCTAAGAGCCTTTTGGCTCCAGCGAGTCTGGAAGTGAAGGTGTAAATCTGTCAGCTTAACACCCCCAACCCCAAGCTCAGTCAGATTTACGGCTGAATCAAGAGCCTGCACCCTTCTCCCTCGACCTAGGGGGCACCAGGACCCTTCACTGGAATGCAGCTGCATAGCTCTCCAAAATCCTGTGGACAACTCGAAGTGACAGAAAGTACATTTCTAATATATACATCCAATCCAAACTGTAACCATTCGTTAGAACTCTTTTCAACTAAACTAGACATACCAAGAACGGAACTGATACGACAATCTGGACTGAAAATTTAAATTTCCTAAATTCCCTGAGGATCTCAAGCATGGACCCACAGCACCCCCCCAAGGGGTGAAAAACGAGAATTACCACGCCACCACCTAAGGACTGTTACTCACAAAGGACCCCAGGAAAACTCATTGAAATGCATGTTTGACTATCAACCTTATCTAATTTACAAGTGATGATGCTTGTATTTATATACTCAGTTACTTAGTGTGTATTCATCCTTTCTTTTACCAGACGTTAGGAATGTGTGGGATAACTGTCTGAAAGTTACCGAAATAACCATTTAAAGTAGTGATTTTAGAACACTAAGTATGCACCTAGGTTTTCTTTTCACTTGTTTTATTTAGCCTTCTATTTTTACTCTTCTCGTTTACTTGATTTACTCATTTGAAGTAATGATTTTACTGTGTTGAAAGTTCCTGCAATGAAAAGACACCCAAGGATTATCTATAAAATTGTTTCTGCCTTTGCCATAGTTGTTCTCAGATAATGTGGGTAGAAACTGCACGTAGATACCTAAATGTTACGTTTGTAGGTTATGGATTTTAGTAACCTAATTGATCTGAAAACTGTTTTGTTTAATCGAATTAAACTTTTAAACCTAGAAGGAACAAAGGAGGGAGTTCCCTGGTAGGGCGCACTGAGATTCCCTTCGAGCCACACCTCAATCTGCAGGCAGATTGACCCGAAGTGCCGCCTCGCTGTACAGCCTCAAGAAGCAAGCCAGGATCCGGAATCCCTTCCTGAGCTACACATCAACCGCCGAGCGGGTCAACACCAAACGACCGCCCAGGTTCCAAGCTCCATCATCGGATGGTCGAGCCGCCTTGAGCTGGTCATCGACCGCGGTGCATCGCCTGTGCGAAGCCCCACCGAGCCTCTTGGTCCAGCGACGGAACGCCAGCGTGTGAGCTCCAGCCGGTTCCCAAGCGACCCTTCTCAGAGGATCAGTAGTCCGGGTTCCCGACTCCAAAGTAAGGCTCTTTCATTTGTGCAGTCAAATTTCGATGCTATTTTACTCGATAAGAATTCTCTTTTGGATATGCTAGTTAGGCTAAGTTAACCTATAGACTCTTTTGGTCCTTAAATTTCGAGTTGCTTTCCCAGGGAGCGCCCTCAGTCACCTCTTCATACCCTTTTAAACTGTGAAATAAGTTACGTTACCTGAGCCATTCCGTTGTTTTGTTTATTTCTTTTTGTTGTATGACGTGTGTCTTAGAATAGATTGTGTGCTAATAAATGTTTTATTTTCCTTCACCAAGTTGTCTGTCTTGATATCTTCCAAATATTGGTTGCTATACATTGATATAAAGATCTTTATAAAAGAAAAGAAATCACATTTATTAAAACTTCAGAAATCAAAATCACTAGTTTTACTTTCTTTAGTTACAAATTAGAGATTGTGATATTCAGGATTTGATTATATATAAGACTGATGAATTAAGGGACTGATTAATTAATGAGACTGACTAATATTTATGAGGCATGGCACGCTAATATTTACGTGTATGTAACAAAACCTCTACATTGTATGTAAATACAACCTCCAAAATTCTCTAGCTGAAAAAATAATTTTAAAAATGGCAAAAAAATACCTTTGACAAGTTCTGCTCTTGTCCATCCCTGAAAAAAAAAAAAATCAGGTGAAGAGTAAATGTGAGAAATTATAATATTGTAAAAACAGTTCTTTTTTCAGTTACTGTTTAATCATTGCAACTGTGTAGCAGTTTTACAACACAAGAAAGTTGCATTTTGTGTTCATATAGTGACATACTTAAATTATGCAAGTTGAGTTCAGGAACACTTCCCCACACTGCTGGACAGTAAAAAACAGAAAACAAAATCATATCAGGTACTTTTACAGGACAAGAAGTGAAACTTTCAAGCAGAGCAGACTTTTGGCAGTAAATTGTTGGTTGAGGGACTGGTGTAATGACAATGACGTGGCCCATTCCTCTTTTACCTGTCATAATGTACCAATAAATTCAAAGGTACAACACTGCCAAACTTGTTAAGTGCAGAGACTAATTGTGAGAAGACATTCTAAGGAACATTGACTAGTAAGCCTTATAGTAAATGATCTGAAATGTTAACAAAAATTACGTTTTTTCATTATGACTGAAATCTGGCTTGATTCAAGCTGAGCAGCTTCTCTTTAAATAAACTACTCCATAGATTTACAATTTACAACTTTTCAGCTACTTGTTACATTTTATATGGTATTTTTACACCCCTGGCTATTGCTTCAAAAGATCAAGAATGAGTCCTGTTGATACTGATATCAGGCCTTTCCTGAGGTAACACAACCTTTTTTGTGATTAATTTTTTTTATTCCCCATTTAAAGAGGAACAAAGAAATCTGCACCTTGTTAAACTGCATTGGAGATCATTTATGTGATTTAATATGCAACCCCAGGTACTTCTCTGCTGCTTTAAAGGTTTGAAGCATAAGTAACTTCAGACCACTTTTACTTCAGAACAAAGAATGTACAATCTTTATGTACAATATCAGGAAACATACTCAGGCTATTTTTTATTGTTAAACATTTCAAACATTAGTAAGGCAGCGTTCATCATCATCATCATCATTCTTCATCAGCCACCTGCTACCTACCTACTATATTCACAACATTAATATGGAAAACATATTTATGTAACTTAGTATTTTCTTAGTTTCTTCTTGCTCCCCTTTTTTTTCATGCTGCTACATATAATATTATTTACATATTGTTTTTTCAGTTGTTTGTTGTGAATTTTTACTTTATGTGAAGACATGTTCTTTAAATGTTCTTTTTTGCCATACTCTGTTTAATTTTTGTTCTGCTGTTTTATTTACATGTGCTGGGAAGCACTTTAACCTGCATTTTTAAGAATGAAAGGTAAAATAGCAAAGTTATTCTATTTCAAGGCAACAGGTGTGTGTGTGTGTGTGTGTGTGTGTGTGTGTGTGTGTGTGTTTGTGTGTGTGTTGGCGGGGCAGAATGAAGGGAAATTTGGCCGTTGTCAAGAAACTGTATATATTTGTCACACTAGGTTGCATTTTTGGAATAAGGAAGGAGGGCTTTCATCAGAAGAAATGAGTCTAGCTTTTTTAACCGTGCCAATCTGATATGAAGTTATTTACACAACTTGGAGCATGCTGAGTGACATTGTGTCAACTTATGGGTGTAGGAGAAAGATAAGAAAAATCAGAGAAGCATATGACATTGAAATAACCTTGCAGTAAGAATGTTACATATCAGTTTTATGTAAATACCGAACAAAGCAACAAATTAGTTTACTTCCAGAGTGTACCACAGTGGGATTCAACAGTTTGGGCACGCTTGGTCAAAATTTCTGTCACTGTGAATAAGTAAGTGAGTGAAGGATGATCTGATTTCCAAAAGCCATAAAGTTAAAGATGACAAATTTCTTAAATTTAAAAAAAAAATTTAAATTTAAAAACAGGAAAAGGGCACAAGCAAGAGTTTGGGCACCCTGCATGGTCAGTACTTAGTGAATATCACAGTTTGTAAATGCTTTTTGAAGCCAGCTAAAAGTCTTTTGGTTCTTGTTTGGGGGATTTTTGCCCATTCTTCCTTGCAAAAGCCTCCCAATTCTGTGAGATTCTCTGTCTTGCATGCACTGCTCTTTTGAGGTCTATCTACAGATTTTCAATGATGATTAGTTTAAAAAAGGTAGTCAGTTGTGGATTTTGAGGTGTGTTTGGGATCATTATCCTATTGTAGAAGCTGTTATGCAGCTTTTTTTACAGACTGTGTGATGTTTGCTTTCAGAATTTGCTGGTATTTAATTGAATCCATTCTTCCCTATATCAATAAAATGTTCCCTGTGCCACTGGCTGCCCCCTTGCTTAACAGTTGAAGAAGTGAAATTTCATATAATGATGGTCCCTTTTTCTCCAAACTTATGTTTATTGTGACCAAAAAGTTCAGGGGTTTTGATTTGCATTTCTAGCAATCTTTTGAGCAGTTCTCTCAAAGGTTTTTTGGTCTTCCCAACCTCAGCTTGACGTCTTCCGCTCCTGTTAACTGCCATTGCTTAATTATATTACAAACTTAGGAAATGGCTACCTGAAAATGCTTTACTATCCTCTTATAGTGTTCTCATGCTTTGTGGGCGTCAATTATTGAAATTTTCAGAGTGCTAAGTAGCTGCTTAGATGAGCCCATGGCTGCTGATTGTTGGGGCAAAGTTTAAGGAGTCAGAATATATGTGAGGTTTTGACATTGGCATCACCTGGCCTTTCCTAATAATGCTTGTTCACAGGCCATGGCCCAAACAAGCTAATTAAGGTCTGAGACTTTGGTAAAAGTTATGTGACAGCAAAAATCTTTCGGGGTTCCCAGACTTTTGCATGGTACTACTTTTTTCACTCTAAATTGTACAAAACAAAAATGATACACTAATTTTGCCTAAAATCAGTTCATCTTCCACTCACTTAATTATTCACAGTAACAGAAATTTTGACCAGGGGTGCCCAAACTGTTGAATGCCACTGTGGCACACGTTGGTAGTAAAATAATTTATTGCATTGTTCAGTGTTTACACAAAACACAACTGTGTGAATGTGTGGCATTCTTACTGCAATGTCACTGCATTGTCATCTACTTCTCTAATTTTCCTGATCTTTTTTCCTCTCACACCCATAACGTGACACTAAATGTCACTCATCATGCTCAAAGTTGTGCAAATAACTTCATATCTGATTGGCAGGTTTAAAAAAGCTAGACTCACACATATGAACAAACACTAGCCTCGAAACTGTACGAACATTAAATAGTAATCTATTTCCAAATAAATTGGACTGGGGTGACATCCCACCCCAGTCCAATGCAAAATATTTCCTTCTTTTTGACATGTCCCCAAAGCACATTCACTTTGAATTCACACTACACAAGGCCCTCACAATTTGAGGTTTTCTTAAGGACTTCAGCATCTACAAGTGCAGGTATGTACTTTCCATTAAGCTACAGTAAGCTCAGTACAGCACCCATAAAATAATCATTACTTATATTAATTACTTCGTATTAGATTGGCATGAAAGAGTACAGAGCATCCAATTGCCTTTTTCCACCTTAAATAAACAAAATACACTGATAAAGCTCTCCTTTGATAATCATTTTAGCCAGTAACACTGTCACCATGCCAATGTTTGCGTGGCTTCATGTCAAGGCACTTGCTAACATTGCAAATGTGAAAAGGAAGAATTAAACCTGGTGGACATTTTCTCCTTGTCTTTCTTCTCCAGAAAGAAGCTCAAGAAGTGCCAGGTCCTTTAGTCTATCTAGTTAGTGATGTTTGCTGTCCCCGCTAATAACGATCTGCTCCGCCCCTTCACCACTTTGCAAAGCTTGTCATAAGCGGGTTCCTCGAGGTTCAGATCTGGGTGGTTTTTTGGGTAATACACTCTTCCATGTGAATGCACACTTAGTCATAACTTTGAGATAACAAGCTTTTATTTTGATATAACCAGTCATCTTAAAACTTTCACCATATTACTATCATTAACAGAGAAGGGAACAAGAGGCTATTTTGTTCTTCCCTACTTGGCAAGAATAGACTTCCACATTAATCTATGCTTCTGCATTGTAGTGTGCCTTGTTTCAGTTTGAATAAATATCATGGAAAAACATTTTCACTGATCTCCATTACAGATGAGAGGTTTGTTTTTCAGGAGGTTCATTAAATTACAGGATCAAAATAACATTGTAATTTCATGTTCACACACGAGTCAAATTTTCATATACATAATAAGTCCCCAGTTTTATTGGAGGGGGAGCAAACATATACCTTTGCCCCACCCTTCAATAAAACTGGGGATGCATATGCTCCACTTGTTCGACTCCTCAGGCGCTTATGCCTATAAGGCTACAATAATGAGTAATCTACGCAGAATTGAGTAGGTGTTAGTGTAAATGACTATAGTGTACCTTAACAGTTAAATCTTTAAACTCTAGCTGATTTTAAATTAAGTGCATTAGCTAGATGTGGTACATTAGTTACCTTGGATCGAGCATTGATACAGTGGAGAAGGGTGTGTTTTGAAGAGTGTGTTTTGTTCTACATCAGAAAATCACTTCTTTACACACACACACACACACACACACAATCTAAACCACTTATCCTTCTGGGTCGCAGTGGGGTGCTGGAGCAAACAATACAGTAGATATAAAAAGTCTACACACCCCTGTTAAAATACCAGGGTTTTGTCATGTTTTAAAAAAAAAAAAAAGAAAAAAAAATCAGACCAAGATGAATCATTTCAGATTTATTTAAACCTTCAGTGTGACCCATAATCTGTACAATTCCATTGAAAGACAAGCTGAAATCTGGTCTGATGAGACCAAGGTTGAACTTTTTGGCTTTTTGGGTATGTTTGGCACAAAGCCAACACTGCGCATCACCAAAAGAACACCATACCCACAGTGAAGCATGGTGGAGGCTGCATTATGCTTTGGGGCTGTTTTTCTGCAACTGTCAAGGTGGAGGGAATTATGAACAGTTCCAAATATCAGTCAATTTTAGCACAAAACCTTCAGGCCTCTGCTAAAAAACTGAAGAGGAAGAGGAATTTCACCTTTCAGCACAACAATAACCCAAAGCATACCTCCAAAATCAACAAAAAAATTGCTTCACCAGAAGAAGATCAAAGTTTTGGAATGGCCCAGCCGGAGCCCACACCTGAATCCCATTGAAAATCTGTGGGTAGACCTGAAGAGGGCTGTACACAGGAGATGCTCTCGCAATCTGACTGATTTGGAGCGCATTTGCAAGGAAGAGTGGGCAAAGACTGCCAAGTCAATATGTGCCATGC